TTGAGAAAAAAAAGACAAAAGCCCTCAAATTTTACACGTTCAGCAGCAATTCCATTTTTCAATAATTATAATAAATTAACAAATAGAGTACTTTGAAGTTTTAGACTACATAAATTGATGGAATAAAAAATAAAACAAGTGAACGTCATTTTTTTAAGTTAAGAAACCTATTCATAATTCAAAGTTAGGTTGTGTTCTATCATGTTAGTAAGACCCTTGAAATTAGCGAGAAAATATTCATCCGTGTATGGAATCATAGTGTAACTGCAACGAAGTCCTGAGCGCCCTCCGGTCCAAGCCTTCTCTTTAAATCAACTTGCAAAGTCTCGAGGTCGATTTTTGAGATAAACACTTCAATATTTAAATTAACAATAATTAAGCCTCCTAAAAGGAGGACAAAAACGAAGCTTGAAATCAGTTTCAATTACCTTTGATGGGAAACCCTTATGGGGTATTATAGGCCTTGAAGATGTGTCCACATGTTTATCTTAATGACTAATCAGGGTTTGTCGTGGCGATAACAATGGAAATCTTGTAAGCCAGTATTGAGCAAGTATGGACAAATTGTAACTCCCACGTAGAAAGCATGAACTCAACTTAGGACGCAACTCAGCCCTTAAGCAATCTGAGCTTGGGGCTAACTTGAGAAGATGAGAAGTTCTAAGGGTCTAAGATCAAGGATCTCAAAATAGCATCACACTATTCCCCCCAGGAGTCATTCACTCATGAATGATGGTTGAGATTGAGGGAAAATGTGATGACACGGGGTCATGTAATTTGTGGCCGTAGCCAAAGTGAGAATGTAATGACACGTGGCCATGTAAGTTGTGGCCATAGCTAAAGTGAGAATGTAATGACACGTGGTCATATAATTTGTGGTCATAGCTGAAGTGAAAATATAGTGACTGAATGTGAGCAAATTTAAAAATGAAGTTACAATGCTTGGATTGGGCTTAAACGGGCTTACGCAATCTTTCTGAGAGTAGGTAAATGTGTTAGTTGATAGCCGACTTTGGGTAATGTGCTATAAGAAAGGATGCGATCTCAATCGTTGGATGAAAAGGATCCTAGTCATTGAAGGCTTTGAGCCCTTAGTATAAATAGGGACACTTGGGCTGATTCTGAATTTACTTAGCTACAGTTTTATTGAAGTGCTGTCAAACTTTCACCAAAGCATCTCGGTTTCCAAGCCTTGCCTTATTGAGCTTCCTTGTGCACAGTTCTCCTGCATTACTTAAAATTTCTTCTAGTGTAGCAGTTTTGCGTTCACCAAGTTCAAGTAACTTCATGAGCTTTGCTTTTGGTTTACGTAAGGAGTTTGGCATATGTCTAACTCTCTCAAACTTAGGTTTAAGTCCTTTTAGAAAAGTTAGGGTTAGGTTAGAGAGTGAGATAGAGTATGAGCTAGAACTTACGCCTTTATCAGTTTTGAAGGATGGTTTAGTCCATTTAAATGGGAGATCACCTTTATCGGTTGCAATCTTCTTGATTGAAGCCACTAAACCATCCTTTGGGTTATAAAGAGATAAGGCTAGCATAGGATTTCCACTAGCTAAGACTTTATCGTTTCCTAATGAACTTATGATCTTGGCTACAACAGACCACGCATACATGAAGTTACTAAACGACATTGTCATCAATTTAGTCCACGCTTCTTTTTCCTTCTTTACCCACAGTTTAATGAAATCGTTACCAACACAATTTCACACAAAGAGACCCTCTCAAAAGCCCCAAGGCATTGTTGGCACACACAATTTCTTCTTCTCTTATTTCCTTTCTCTCCAAATCAAAGCATAGGATCACTCGACGCAAGTCAAAATTTACTTCTTTCTCAACAATTCAGTAGAGGCAACCATTATAAGCCATTGCTACTCGGTGGGGAGAACAAACTAAGTAACTTGTGTTGCTTGCAATAGCTTTCCACGAGCTTGTCTTCACACTCAAATATAGGAAACCCCATGATTCCCAAGCAAGTATAAGCACAAGCTTATACTCATCAGTAGTAGAATCACAACCAAATCCATAACCACCCCATTTGTTAGCCCTTGGTGGTGGATCATGTTTTTTCTATTTCTTTGTCAAC